TTATATTAATTAGAAATGAATTAATAATAATAATCTGAGGGAGATGTTTTTTTTTTAATTGTTTGATTTATTTTCTTTTTTCTTTTTTTTATTTTTTAAATCGAATTCGGACAAACACTATCCTGATGAATGAAAAAAAAAAAAACCATAAGAAAAAAAAAAAATCGAAAAATAATTGAAAACAGAACATATATAAAAGAAGTGAATAATTAATAATTATTATAAATAAATGATTCATACCTTCGGCACAGGATGCAAGTTGTTTCCCGTTGCTAGAGAAACTCATGTTGAAGATGTTACTGGTGTGGCCCTTCAAAGTACCGACAACCCATGAATGAGAAAATTCTTGTGGCACCTCGCGACGCCTTTTATTTTTCGTTCGTTTGTTGACATTAGAAGTCGATGCAGATCCGGAACACAAATCTCTCGGATCGACACCTTGATTTTGTTCTCCATCTGTAGTATCTGCAAATAATTATTCATATATTTTATATTAATATTTATTCGAAATTAATATATTTACACACACCCGTTAGAATACGAATAAGAATTGGTTTGAAATCATTTCATTTTCTAATATCACACGCGTTGGAATATTTTTTTTTTCTAAATATTATTTCATCGTTCTCGTTTTAATATTAATCATCATAATCAATTTTTGACACACACCCGTTAGAATACGAATAGGAATTGGTTTGAAATCATTTCATTTTCTAATATCACACGCGTTGGAATATATTTTTCTAAATATTATTTCATTGTTCTTGTTTTAATATTAATCATCATAATCAATTTTTGACACCCGTTAGAATATTAAAGTTTATTAAAATTCAAAGAATAAAGTTTGAAATCATTTCATTTTCTAATATCACACGCGTTGTAATATATTTTTTTGTCAATATTATTTCATCGTTCTCGTTTTAATATTAATCATCATAATCAATTTTTGACACCCGTTAGAATATTAAAGTTTATTAAAATTCAAAAAATAAAGTTTGAAATCATTTCATTTTCTAATATAACACGCGTTTTAATATATTTTTCTAAATATTATTACATCGTTCTCATTTTAATAATAATCATCATAATCAACTTTTGACACACCCGTTATAGAATATTTATTATAATAAAAGTCTCAAATGAGAGAAATGTTTTGTAAGACGAGATAATGTTTAAAAATTACTATATAATCTTTTATATATATTATATTTGTGTGTGTGTGTGTGTGTGCATATAATACATTGTAAACAATTATTATTTAAATAATAAAAAACGTTTTAAATTGAATGTAATAAGAAATAAAAGAGAAAAATAATATCCCGTCAATATGGCCGAGAGAGTTGGAGATTTAAAATGGTGATATATTCTCGTTGGGATCTTTACCAGCCGGTTTCTTTTTTCTGAGGAGGTGAGGGGAGGGTGGGAGGGAGTTGACCACTCAACCGAACCAATCCCCCAAACCATATTAACCTATCCTTTTCTACCATTCACAATAACTCCAGCCCCTCCCCTATTGCCGCCATTTTAAATTCTGGGACTCTCCTAACGTCTAGTTACAATGAAAACTATATTTCATATCAAACTTCAATAAATTTTGTTAACGCGTTTATCGCGTTTTGTAATATTGCTTAAAAAAAATTCGAGTAAAAAATTGTCTACGATTAATTCATTAATTTTTAATCAAATTTTTATTAAATGTTAGTGTTTCTTTTTTTTTGGTTTTATATCTA